TCTTGAGCAAGCAGCCAATCAGACATGAACACGCCGCTCCAGGGGTATATAAGCAGTGCCTTTTCGGGGCTGGGGTCTTCCTCCTTTCATTAACAATAAACGCTTGCTGCAGAAGGATCCTGGTGTCCCCGTGCGTCTTGCTGGCAAGACGATTGCGAGGGTCACAAGGACCAGATGGTTTTAGTGCAGAATTCTATCAGACCTTCAAAGAAGACCAAATACCAATTCTCTTCAAACTATTCCACAAAACAGAAACAGAAGGAACACTACCCAATTCGTTCTATGAAGCCACAATCATGCTCATACCTAAACCTCACAAAGACCCAACAATGAAAGAGAACTTCAGACCAATCTCCCTTAAGAATATCGATTCAAAAATACTCAATAAAATTCTGGCAAACTGAATCCAAGAACACATCAAAACAATCATCCATCATGATCAAGTAGGCTTTATCCCAGGAATGCAGGGATGGTTCAATATACAGAAATCCATCAATGTAATCCACTATATAAACAAACTCAAAGAAAAAACCACATGATCATCTCACTAGATGCTGAGAAAGCATTTGACAAAATTCAACATCCCTTTATCGTAAAAGTCTTGGAAAGATCAGGAATTCAAGGCCCATACCTAAATACAGTAAAAGCAATATACAGCAAACATCAAACTAAATGGAGAGAAACTTGAAACAATCCCACTAAAATCAGGGACTAAACAAGGCTGCCCACTCTCTCCCTACCTACGCAATATAGTACTGGAAGTCCTAGCTAGAGCAATTAGACAACAAAAAGAAGTCAAAAGGTTACAAATAGGAAAGGAAAAAGTCAAAATCTCACTATTTGCAGATGATATGATAGTATACTTAAGTGACTCCAAAACTTCTACCAGAGAACTCCTAAACCTGATAAACAACTTCAGCAAAGTGGCTGGATATAAAATTAACTCAAACAAATCAGTAGCCTTTCTCTACCAGAAAGATAAACAGGCTGAGAAAGAAATTAGGGAAATGATACCCTTCACAATAGTCACAAATAATATAAAATACCTTAGTGTGAATCTAACCAAGCAAGTGAAAGATTTGTATGACAAGAAGTTCAAGTCTCTGAAGAAAGAAATCGAAGATCTCAGAAGATGGATAGATCTCCCATGCTCATGGATTGGCCGGATTAATATAGTAAAAATGGCCATCTTGCCAAAAACAATCTACAGATTCAATACAATCCCCATTAAAATCCCAACTCAATTCTTCACAGAGTTAGAAAGAGAAATTCTCAAATTCATTTGGAATAACAAAAAACCCAGGATAGCGAAAACTATTCTCAACAATAAAAGAACTTCTGGAGGAATCACCATCCCTGACCTCAAGCTATACTACAGAGCAATAGTAATAAAAACTGCATGGTATTGGTACAGAGACAGGCAGGAAGATCAATGGAATAGAATTGAAGACCCAGAAATGAACACACACTCCTATGGTCACTTGATCTTTGACAACGGAGCTAAAACTGTCCAGTGGAAAAAGGACAGCATTTTCAACAAATGGTTCAACTGGAGGACAACATGTAGAAGAATGAAAACTGATCCATTCTTATCTCCTTGTACAAAGCTCAAGTCCAAGTGGATAAAGGATCTTCACATAAAATCAAATACACTGAAACTAATAGAAGAGAAGGTGGGGAAGGACTTTGAATACTTGGGCACAGGGGAAAAGTTCCTGAACACCAATGGCATATACTCTAAGATCAAGAATTAACAAATAGGACCTCATAAAATTACAAAGTGTCTGGAAGGCAAAGGACACTGTCAATAGGACAAAACGACAACCAACAGATTGGGAAAAGATCTTTACCAATCCCACATCCAATAGAGGACTAATATCCAATATATACAAAGAACTCAAAAAAATTAGACTCCAGACAACCAAATAACCCTATTAAAAAATGGGGTACAAGCCAGGCGGTGTTGTTGCACGCCTTTAATCCTACCACTTGGGAGGCAGAGGAAGGCAGATTTCTGAGTTCGAGGCCATCCTGGTCTACAGAGTGAGTTCCAGGACAGCCGGGACTATACAGAGAAACCCTGTCTCGAAAACACACACACACAAATGGGGTACAGAGCTAAACAAAGAATTCTCAACTGAAGAAACTTGAATGGCCGAGAAGCACCTAAAGAAATGTTCAGCATCCTTAGTCATCAGGGAAATACAAATCAAAACAACCCTGAGATTCCACCTCACACCAGTCAGAGTGGCTAAGATCAAAAACTCAGGTGATAGCAGATGCTGGCAAGGATGTGGAGAAAGAGGAACACTCCCCCATTGTTGGTGGGATTGCAAGATGGTGCAACCACTCTGGAATCAGTCTGGTGGTTCCTCAGAAAATTGAACATAGCATTACCTGAGGACCCAGCTATACCACTCCTGGGCATATACCCAGAAGAAGCTCCAACATATAACAAGGAAATATGCTCCACTATGTTCATAGCAGCCTTATTTATAATAGCCAGAAGCTGGAAAGAACCCAGATGTCCTTCAACAGAGGAATAGATACAAAAAATGTGGTACATTTACACAATGGGGTATTACTCAGCTATTAAAAACAATGAATTCATGAAATTCTTAGGTAAATGTATGGAACTAGAAAATATCCTGAGTGAGGTAACCCAATCACAAAAGAACACACATGGTATTCACTCACTAGTAATTGGATATTAGCTCCAATATAGAAGCTCGAAATACCTAAGATTCTACTCACAGACCACTGAAGCTCATGAAGAAGGAAGACCAAGTGTGGGTGCTTTGGTCCTTCTTAAAAGGAGTAACAAGCTGGGCAGTGGTGGTGCACACCTTTGATCCCAGCACTTGGGAGGCAGAGGCAGGTGGATTTCTGAGTTCAAGGATACCCTGGTCTACAGAGTGAGTTCCAGGGCAGCCGGGGATACATAGAGAAACCCTGTCTCGAAAAACCAAAAAAAAAAAAAAAAAACCTGAACGAGGGGCCATCTGGAGACCATTCCACCTGGGTATCCATCCCATGTGCAGTCACCAAAGGTAGACTCTGATGTGAATGCCAGGAAGTGCATGCTGACAGGAGCCTGACATAGCTGTCTCCTTAGAGGTCTGCCAGAGCCTGACATATACAGAGGTGGATGCTCACAGCTAACCATTGAACTGATCATGGGGTTCCCAATGGAGGAGTTAGAGAGAAAACTGAAGGAGCTGAAAGGGTTTGCAGGCCCCATGAGGAGAGCAACAACCAACCAGAGCTCCCAGAGCCTAAACCACCAGCCTGGGAGCACTTAGGAAGAGGCCCATGGCTCCAGCTGCATATGTAGGGGAGGATGGCCTTGTAGGGCATAGGTGGGAGAGGAGGTCCTTGGTCCCATGAAGGCTGGACACCGAGTGTGTGGGAATTCGAGGGTGGGTAGGTGGGAGTGGGGGGTAGGTAGGGGCACATCCTCATAGAAGCAGGAGGAGGGGGGATGGGATAAGAGGTTCCTGGGCGGGGGAGGGGGGAATGGGGTAAGAGGATAACATCTGAAATGTAAATAAAATATCCAATAAAAAAAGAAATTAGTTTTTTTAAAAAAGGGAGCCCTGCATTTGTGTAAGGATAGCCTCCCTCAGAATAAAGACTACCGGAGTTTGTCTGAGTCACGGTTCCATTGCTGTGAAGAGACACTATGTCCAACTTATAGAACAAAGCATTTCACTGGAGGCTTGCTTACAGATTCAGAGGGTGAGTTCAGGACCATCATGATGTAGAACATGGCAGCAAGCAGGCAACCATGATGCTGGAGCCCGATCCATGAGTTCTAGAAGGAGGGAGGCTGGGTCTGGCATGGACTTTTGAAACCGCCAAACCCTTCCTCCAGTGACATCATCCTCCACCAAGGCCACACCTCCTAATTCTTCCCAAACAGTTCCACCAACTGGGGACCAAACATTCAAATATATGTGCCTATGAGGGCTGTTATCATTCAGAGCACCCCATTGTCACTCCCAACTTATATGTCGTCTTCTTAACCTTATATGTAGTCAAGAACCCACTTCACCATGCTACCACCACCACAAACAAACTGTTGCTCAAATAAAAATCAGGGACAAAATTTTGAAATGATCCCAGTAGATTTTTTTTTTTTAATACAGCTAGCTGCCTGGTACCTGGCAGTTCAGAAGAGGGCACTGGATCCTCTGGGACTGGATGGTTGGGAACCGCCACGTGGGTGCTGGGAGCTCAACCTGGGTCCTCTGCAAAAGCAAGTGCTCTTAACCACTGAGCCAACGTTCTGCACCTATCACTTTCAATTGTGGCCAGTGCTTGCAATTCATACCCTTCCTCCTTGCTGTGTTCCCCTCTTCCTCCTCCAACCTTTAGTTCAAGAACCTTGGCCCATATTGGGCTCTGAATTCCCAAGGCAAGCGGGGAGTCAGGCACGTGACAGATATACAATAACCGCTTACTGAACAAAATGGAATGGCAAGTTCTAAAGAACAATTGGAGTTTTGCCCCAAACACATTGTCTTTCTGGGAGAACAGGATGGACTCACAAGGTTAGAAGCGAACTGTACTTCAGCCAATCCCACCCATAATGTAAGAACCCTGCCCGCCTTCCTCTCCTGAGGCTTGTACTAGGCTCTCTTACCCACATTTCTTCTGTTATTCTCACCTTGACCCTCAGAGATCTTATTTTTGTTTACCAGAAGAAGTCAAAGAGTTTCCGATGATTTCAAGAGACTGATTTAGCCTTCACACTCTCTAGCCTTTCCTTCCCAAAGACAAAACCGCGATCTTGGCGGCCCGCCCCCTCCCCTCATGCCCCGCCCAGTAGCATCGCCCGGGACAGAACTTTGCTACTTTGCTACTAGTTGGAGTTCGCAGTCGTTGTCACTTCCGCGAACACCAAAGCCAAAACCGACAGTAGAGTAGGCAGAGCAAATAGGAACACACAAGCTGAGCCCATAGGCTCCGAGAGGCCCGCGGGCTCCGCCCACTGCCACATGCCCCGCCCCGGTGCCCTAGCAACAAATAAACAGTGTGAGGTTCTGCCGCTTTTGTGCGCTCGACAGCGGGCTGTCCGGGTGCCGCCCCGGGAGTGGGGTGAGCCGAGCCTTGCTTACCAGCACCTGCGCCTCCGCACACCGCGAAGGCGCCCAATTGGAGGTGCGGCCACGGCCGGGGCAGGCGGCAATTCGCCGGTGAGAGCGCTCGCGGAAGCTAGGGAAGCGGCAGGAACCGGGCGGGGGACTGCGATCCCGGGGAGGAGGAGGAGGAGGAGGGGGAGGGAATGTGGAGCCTGAATTTCGAGACTGGGGACTGGTGTCACGATCACCCTCTCAGCTGAGAAAGAAATGACTATGAAAATACCCATCTTAAAGAGGGAGGTTCGCAAGTGCTCGCCTTAACCCGGTAAGCCTTTGAGACCTAGGTCTTCTGTCATCCCCACGGGTACAGTTCAACCCAGTGTGTCGTAGGAGAGGGTAGTCTGATGGGCAGCAGCAGCAAATTCAGGCTGTGCCGGTTCTGTGATACTGGTTTTAGTCCCTTGGTTCTGTGGGGAAACTTTCACTCCTAGAAGATGCTCTGGCGTTTGGAAAATAGAGGAAGATCAGCAACGAGGTTTGGAGCCCCAAACTAAGTACACGCCAATGAGGGACTGTCCAGGCTACCCTGAGTCGTTTGGTGGAATTCTTTACATGAAATAGAGAAAGTAAGGTTGGCCCTGGGGGCCGGGGGGGAGGTGTCCACACTACATCTAACCCCACCCCACCCTAACCCTACGTCTGCCAGGATCCCTCCTGTTCTTCAGCTTGCATCCTGCAATTGGTGCCCTCCTTCCCAGCCTCATTTTTCTTTCTAGAATGGCTGTGGTTTTGTTGCCCCTTTCCGCAGTCCTCAGGAACTTGCCGCTCAGCACCCGTAGTAAAAGGGTATCAACTTCTGGCACAATTATGGTATTACCATCTCTGCTTAAGGAAAAGTATCCCCCAAACTAGACCCGAGTTGTTCTTGCACCTGCGCTATCTTGATTACTGATCTTTTTATCTCCTAGAGTAGAAATACCTCCTGCTTCCTCCTGTTCCTAGAGTACCCATAGCCCTTTGCACCACACTTGAGGTGCCTGCCTTGCTTTCTGTTTAGCCTACAGTTTGGAATGTGTTTAGTAAGCCTGTGGTTCTTCTGCTTTCTTTTGGAACTAAGTATAGTATTAAGTAAAAGTGCTGTCTGCTGACTTAAACTTCTAGACTTCTATATTACTGTTCTTTCTCCGGACCCAGGAAAGTGAAGAATAACTTAAAAAGTCCCGGAAACTAATGGCTTCTTTGTACTCTTTGTATAAATGTCCAGCTTCTTAGTTTACAGAGGCTGAAGGCCAACGCTGCTCTTCACTCGCTTTGCAGACTTGAGTCCCCCTCATTGTCCACCCCACCCCACCCTCACCCCTTTACTTGTGGACAGCCACTCTGACCTCGTTTGATCCCTTTTTCTTTGCTTAGCCTCTCCAACCTCAAAGCTCCTATTCGGGCTGTTTGTTCTCCCTACAAATTCTCTAACCTTTCAGCGTCCTCATCAGTCTTAGTATCTCTGCTTGTCCTAGCACAGTATGCCAAATGCTCCTGGTTCCCTTTTTTCCCAGCAGAGTTGTTTCTTCAATGTGTTTGTGATAAAAGGCTGGTGTCTTTTTTCCCTCACTGGAGTGTGAGCCTCCTGAGGACAGGACAGCAACCCAGATCTACTTTCTAGTAGATCTGTGCCTTGTACAGAGACAGGAACACAGCAGGTATTTGGAAATACCTGTTAAATGAATGAAAGGGGAATTTTGAAATTGAGGACAGCGGAAAGATGTGTTTGCCTTCTATGGCCTGCACCTGCTTTGCGTCTGTATTAATTGCTTCTCCGGTGGCTGTGACCAAACACCTGAAGCAACGGTTTAAGAGAAGGAGGGCTTATTCGGGGTCACACTCAAGTTTCAGTCCCTCGTGGTGGAGAAGACAGGGCTTATGGCAGCAGAGAGTCCAACAGTAGCTGTTCACACAGTGGCAGGTAGAAAGCAGAGAGGGTAGGGCCAGGTGAGACCTACCCCTAAAGACCTACTTCTGCTACCTACCTCCATCCCCTATAGTCTTCTCAAGGCCCTCTTGGGAATAAACAATTGACATGAACCTGTTAGGGACATTTCAGATTCAAACCAACACACCAACTGATTGTAATTCATCATTCATCCACGAAGTGTGCCAACTGTTTAGGCTAAGGTTGTCAGTGGTAAGCTTGCAAACCCTCTGGATTGTTATTGATTACTATTAATCACTATTAAGTAGTTGGAATGGTTTTAATATGAACTATCCCCCATAGACAGATATCTGAACCCTTGGTCCCCAGCTGGAGTGCTGCAGCTCTGAAGGAAGTCTGTTGCTGTTGGGGTGTTGGAAGGGGGAGGTTGCTCTGAGATTTCACAGCCTTCCTCCCACTTCACTCTCTGCTTCCTGCCGTGGCCACGCCTCCTCAGTAGGAAGTCTCCCTCTGTAAGGCGAAAGTAATCTGGTTCCCCCATAAATTGTTTTCGGTCATAGTGTTTTATCACAGCAAAAGAAAAGTAATCAATATAGTAGTTTTTAAAAAAAATGCCTAAGATGAGGAGCTAGAAAACGATGCTTCAGAGGCAAAGAGCTTCTGGGTAGTTTTCAGATAGGTTGACTGTGTGAAGTCTTGGAGCCAACACTAGCACGGAAAGACGCAGCTTATGTTCACCTGTTTGTTGATGTGTCTGGTCGGGTAGTAAATGGTTATATGATGACTCTAGGTATAGGAAAAAAGTTAACGCTGTGTCAGGGTGGTGTTCTTTATTTACTGGTAGTAGGAATTGAATCCATAGCCAGGCGGTGATGGCACACACCTTTAATCCCAGCACTTGGGAGGCAGAGGCAGGTGGATTTCTGAGTTCGAGGCCAGCCTGGTCTACAGAGTGAGTTCCAGGACAGCCAGGACTATACAGAGAAACCTTGTCTCGAAAAACAAAAAAAAAAAAAAAAAGAAAGAAAGAAAGAAAGAAAGAAAGAAAGAAATTGGATCCAGGCCTCTGCACATGCTGGGCGAGGGCTTTACTCCTGATCCACGGATTTGGGGCCCCCAGGAGCCTAGGGAGGTCTTTGTAAAGAAGTGATATTCATATAGAGTCAGAAGAAAGAGCTAAAACATGATTCCCCTTCAGTCATTTGAAAGCCTATATAAGGAAAGAAGGGACCCCGGGCACAGGAGGAACTTGGCAAGTTTGGGAAGTATAAAGAGACCAGCAGAGATGAAGTAGTCTTCCTTAGGGCATTTGTAAGGTTCTAAATTGTGTTCTGAGACCAAGGATAGAGCCCCAGAGTTGCACTGAGCCAACCAAAGGGTGGTCGCTGCTGAGATGGCTTAGTAGGTAAAGGTGCTCTCAGTGTGTTCTCCGTATAGGCTATAGCATTGTTAGCTTAGGGGAAGCCGTTTTTATTTATGTATGTATGTATTTATTTCTGACATAGACTCTCACTACGCAGCCGTAGCTGCCTTGGAACTCATTCCATAGACCAGGCTGGCCTTGAACTCACAGAGATCCACCTGCCTCCTCTGCCTCCTGAGTGCTGGGAGTGATTGGTATCACTCATTTAACTACTCTGAAATTCGTCTATGCCGTTATCATTTTCTCATGGCTCAAGCGTGCTCCATTCTTTGGCCACTCCACAACATGTTCACCCGTTGACTTGCTGATGAACACTTGTGAGAGCGCTTCTGCCTCGAGCTATGACGAATTAAGCTACTTTGAGAAGTTGTGTGCAAGTCTTTAAGTAGAAGATGCTTTCATTTCTCTGGGTAAATATTTTAAGAGTACAATGGCTAGGTCAAATGCTAGGGGTGTGTCTAACTTAAAAAGAAACTGCGAGGCTAGCTTCCAGATCGGCTCTGTTAGTTTCAGCCTCCACCAGCGGTGAATGAGAGTTCAAGTCCTCCATTTGCTCACCGTTACTCGATAAAGCTCGGCCATATATCGAGCTCTTAGACTCAAGTGTGTGTTGCATATCTTGTAGGTTTTGTATATGCCTGACGTCTAACAATGCTGAGTGTGTCTGTTCATGGGCTCATTTCCCACCTCTCCTTTTCAGGAAAGTATTCATTTGAATATTTTGCTGATTTTTATTGGATGGTTCTCTTAACTATTATGTTTCGGGCACTCTTTATTGGGGATGTGGGCCTTTATCATATGCTTTGGAAGTATTTTCTACCAGTCTCTGACTTAGCATTCATCTCTTAATACCTGTTGGTAAGCGGACATTTTACATTTTGACTTCGAGCTCAGCCACTTGTTCTTCATGACACGTTATGTGCTTTTCAGTTGCTATGATTGAATACCATGGCAAACCTTAGAGGAGGGAGGGTTTATTTTGGCTTCTACTTCCAAAGGAGATGAAGTCGTCATGCTGGAGAAGGCATGGCTAGGGGGGAGTGAACTCAGCCCAGGGTCAGGAAGAAGAGAACTTAGTGGCTCTGCTGTAGGACCTCAAAGTACACCACTTCGCCCTGCCCAGCCCCGCCCCGCTCAGCTTCGCTCCGCCCTGCCCCACCCCACAGTGAAACACTTGCTACAGCACGGCTCCCCCGCCTACAGGAGGAGGGGTCAGCATTTGTCCCAAACAGCCCCACCAGCGGCTGGGAACCAAGTGTTGAAACACAGACCTCCAGGGACATGTCATAGTCACCAGCTGTGGTTCTGATGTTATATCCAAGAAGAAATCTTCACCAAACTGAAGGCCATAGGTCTCCAAAGGTTTTGTAACTTGGGGTTTTATATTTAGGTCTATGATGAATTTTAAGGAGTTTGTTTGTTTGGTTGGTTGGTTGGTTGATGTGGTTCAAATACTAATTGGGATTCCTTGCTTTTGTGTTTTGTCAATAGACCTTCATTATTCCAGCACCACATACTACAGTGGTTCTCAGCCTTGCTAATGCTGTTCCCCTTTAATACAACTCCTCATGTTGTGGTGACTTCCCAACCATAAAATTATTTCCGTTGTTACTTCATAACTGTAATTTTGTTGCTGTTATTAATTGCAATATAAACATCTGTGTTCCAACGGTCTTAGGAGACCTCCAAAGGGGTTGCAACCCACAAGCCATGAACAGCTGCTCTAGAGAAACAGACAATCCTGACTCTGACATTTTTCCTGAAAATCAATTCCCTCATACATGTCTGCATCTATTTCTGGGCCCTCTTTTCTATTATTATTTTATGTAAACGAGGCATGTACACTTGCATGCCAGAAGAGAGCATCAGATTCCATTATAGATGGTTGTGAGCCGCGATATGGTTGCTGAGTATTGAACTCAGGACCTCTGGAAGGGCAGACAGTGCTCTTAACCGCTGAGCCATCTCTCCAGCCCTTATCTCCAGGCTCTTTATTCTGGTCCGTTGATCTGTTTATCTTGACCTCACTAGCACACTGTGTGATACAAGTTCTTACCTTTGAAGGTAGCTGCTGTTACCCTCCCAACCGTGCCCTTTTGCAAAGTCTTTTGAATTTCTAGATGAATTCTGGAAGTATCTATAAGAAGATAAGAACTTCAAATAAATATTAAAGCCTTTATCTTATGTCCTTTGCAATTCCATCTGAACTTTGGAATCAGCTTGCCAATTTCTAAGAATGTCAAATTTAGCTGAACATTATGGTACCCTTTCAATCCCAGAACTCAGGAGGCAGAGGTAGGTGGATCTCTGTGAGTTTGAGGCCAGCCTGGATTATATGGTGAGACCCCATCTTTAAAAGAAATAAACAAAACTAAAAATGTTTAACTGGAAAAAAAAAGTTAAACTGTTCTCAACCCATTGTAAAGATTAAGACCCTTGTGCATACACATACACACTCATTTTGTTCCAGTTTTTCCAGGTGAGCTATTAACCATTGACATTCAAGAAAGTATAAAATTATGAGAGCAAACATTCAAAATCTTAAAGGACTCACTCCAAATTGTGCATCCTGTACCCCGTGGAGAGACTTTCCCAGCAGAAGGCAGTCTTCTGGACTTCATAATATGTTTTTGTTTGTACTCTCTGTTTACAAGATTTATTACGTGTGTGTGCGTGTGTGTGTGTATGTGTGCACACACCACACACACACGCCCACATGCATATGTTTGCAGGTGTCTAGGTGTCCTCAGACTCTGGAAGGCTTGTCAGATTCTTTGGAGTTACAAGCAGTTGTGAACTTCAACCCCATGTGAATGCTGTGAACTGAACTTGATCCTCAGGATAAGCAGCATGTGCTCTTAGCCACTGAGCCATCTCTGCAGCCCCACCGCGCCAGCCCCACCACCTGTACTTACTCACTACATTACTTCTCATGTTTACCCCTGGATATAGTGTCTAGGAATAGACTACATTTCACCTGAGGGAAAACTATTTTACTATTTTAAACGCATTAACTGTTTTGTTTGTTTAACTTGAGACATTATGAGTGAAAATTTAAGAACAAGACATCTGTCTTATGTAAATATTTAGCTTTCGCTAAGCCTTGGTGATATGTACATTCTCCCTCTCTTCCCTTGCTAGAGGAGACAGGTTAGAGTTGTTCTCCCATCAATCATTTTCTGTACGGTGAGGTGGTCACAGGACATAAAGAAGTGCAGTTTGGTGTGCAACACTTGTAAAAAACAAACAACAAAAAAAACAACTTTGCAACAGTTTATTGCCGAAGCAGGGATGTCCCCACTCCCATTTCCCAGAGGTTTCTGACCTCTTCAGCTAGTCACAAAAATAGCGTGGGCTCTGAGCCTTCTGGATGTCACTTGGCACCTACCGAGTGACGTCGCTGAGCCCCTGCTATTTCATTTTGAAGATAGGGCTGATGCCTGCCCATCTTGAAGCACAGCTCTGCGGTGATGAAGATGATGGCAAGAATCACTTGCTCTCAGACCCGAGTCTCTCCTCTTGCATCTGCAGCTCCCTTAAATCTCACAACTGCTTATGTAGAGAGTGCATAACGAAGACCAAGATATGCATTTGTCTCCTGGCCGTAGAATTTGTTTTAAGTTTAACTTTTATTATGCAGCCTTCCAGAGAAATAATCAAGAATAATTTGGTAAAATAGCTTCCTGTAGGTCCACTCCTCGGGCTCAGAAAGCAGCAAAAGTGTACCAGGTCTGTGGCTTCTGTTCTTCAGCAGGGTGTGGAGAAGACAGCCATGTTGGAAAGCACATCTCTAGTCTTTGATTCTGTCTCTACAGTTTTAGTGTGCATCTCTGAGACATGTGTACACCCAATGCCATGTCTTTTGCAGCTTATGCAAATCAGAATGCAACAAAGCACCACAGAAGAAAGGGCCATGGGGTCTCTTTAAACAAGAGCTGCTTAGCAAGCAGTTGTCACAGATGATGCCATCTGATGCTTCCTGCTCCGGGCAAGCATTTTTTCAATGATATGTAATATTTATATGTATTTGTGGGATGCAATACAGTAATGTGATATGCATAGACATCAAATGGGACCGGCCTTTTTTTTTCTCCAACACTAACCAACTCTGTGTGTTGGGAACCTTCAGACTCACAGTTATCTTGAACATGTAAATGTATTTGTTGTGGCAGGTTTGTGTCCCCCTTCCTCTTTTAGGTTTTTATTCCCCCTTTAAAGTCACTAAGAATGCCTTTAATCCCAGCACTTGGGAGGCAGAGGCAGGTGAATTTCTGAGTTCGAGGCCAGCCTGGTCTACAGAGTGAGTTCCAGGACAGCCGGAGCTACACAGAGAAACCCTGTCTCGAAAAACAAAACAAAAAACAAAACAAAGGGCTGGAGAGATGGCTCAGTGGTTAAGAGAACTGACTGCACTTCCAGAGGTCCTGAGTTCAAATCCCAGCAACCACATGGTGGCTCACAACCATCTGTAATGAGATCTGATGCCCTCTTCTGGTGTGTCTGAAGACAGCTACAGTGTATTCAAATATAATAAATAAATAAATCTTTAAAAAAAAACAAAAAACAAAAAAAACAAAACCAAAAAACCAAAGTCACTAAGAACGTGTGGAAAACTGCTTCCAGGTGGACCTTGATGGTACATGCCTTTGATCCCAGCACTTGGGAGACAGAGTCAGACAAATCTGTGAGTTCAAGGACAGCCAGGCAGGTCTACATGGTGAGATCTAGTATCAGAGAGGGGGGAGGGGGGGAGAGAAAGGGAAAAAGTTACATCAAGGTGATAGAAAGTAATTTTCTTTCCGTGTTTGTGCTTGTCTTTGAAAGGCAGGTAAAGGGAAGAAAGGAAAAGGCCGGTCCAAGACCTCCGGGAAGAAGCAGAAGCAGAAGAAGCCGGAAGCAGACATCCTCAGCCCCGCCGCCATGCTGAACCTCTACTACATTGCCCACAATGTGGCCGACTGCCTGTACCTTCGAGGCTTCCCTTGGCCAGGCGCTCCCAAAGGGAAAAAGGGAAAAAAATAAGACTTAGGTGATAGAATTCAAAGCATGCCTTGGTCTCAAAGAACAGAAAGTAGGAGAAAGCATTTAGGATAACTCAAAAGACTGCGGGCAAACGGGCTCTAAAAGACAAGTAGAAACATGTAGCCACTGTGCTTTTCTGTGGTAAATAATGACAAATGCATTTTTATTTCCACAGCTAAGCCAGGCAACTAGGTAAGCCATTTTGGTTTTTCAGAAGTAATCAGAAAAATCAAACCCAAGTAGTTCATAAAGGCTACCCTGGCATTGGTAGTAATTTTTTTAAATATTATAATCAATTCTAGACTGAATTAAACCTTGTTCTTAGACGGCAGCTCTAGTTTGCATGAGTCGTTTTCTTCTGTGAGGGGTTGGCTCAGAGAAGACCAGGCAGAAAGCTCAGGCCTAACTTGTAAACACATTTTCTGCTGTAGTTTGGTTTGGGTTTTCTTTTTTTGTTTTCTTTTTCAACACTGGAGATGAGCCTGGGGCCTCTGCTCAGGAAGAGCTCTGCCATTAAATTACTCCTAGACACACACACTTTTTTTTTTTTTTTTTGTTAACAAAATGGAAAATAAATAACTTGTTTTTGTATTCTGAGTAGCAGTCTTTCTCTAATTCAAATTAACCACAGACTCCAGTGGGGATTAAAATCACTGTGAGCACTCTAATCTTGCCAGGTATGCAAACACATGATAAAGAAAAGCTGGGGCCAGGAAAATGGTTCTAGATGTAGTAACACACACACACACTTGTGTGGTGGATGAAAGAAGGGGAGCAAATCAAGTAAGTTAGCTTTCAGTTGTTGTGACAGAGGGACCGAGGAAACCAGTTTAAAAGAGGAGGACTCCTTGTCACTCACAGTTTGAGAGGCTGGCCCCATTATTTGGGGAATGAGACACAGCAGAATCAGAATACAATGGTAATGAGAACACAGGGCAGAAGCCCCAAACTGTGGCCAGGGAGGAAAAGAAAGGCTGTGAGGGGTCATGGAAGACACTTAACTTCCTTCATTCCTTGCCTGAAGTGCGGCTCCCACTGTGAACCTTAGCTAGCCTGGAACTCACAGTGTAGACCAGACAAGCCTAGAACTCAGAGCTCCGCCTACGTCTGCCTCCCAAGGCATGCATGCGACTAAGACACACTTTTTAAAGCATCCTCAGGTGACCACCTTCCCCCAAGCAGACCCTGCTGCCTACAGTTTCCATCAACCTCCCCGTCCAGCTGAGTCCATTGTCAGTGTGGATTAATCTGCTTGTACGATTATGGTCCTAACGGTCCAGTCATCTCTGAATAGTGATTCGCCACAGCTAAACCTTCAATACATGAATCAACATCCCAGACTTAACCACAGTGCCCTGTCCTTAGTCCCCAAAGATGCATGCTCATTACACAATGTAAAAGACATTCAAGAATCCTCAAATTCTCAAAGGTTCCAGGACTGCACAAAGGTCTAAATCCAAAGTCTCCCGAGACTCGAGCCCTTAGCTCTGAGCCCCTGTAAAAATGTGAGAAACAAGTTACAGATTTCCAAAGGCCTTGACACACCAACTGTGACACTTGGAAGGGGGCAGTTTCATGTAGAGATGGTATCCCTGATTGCAGTACTCCTTACCCGCCTCCTGCTCTGCCTTCCTGGCCCCCACTGCTTCCCCCAGCCCACCTCTCTTGATGCCCGTAGCGTTTGCTCCATTCATAGTCTCCATGCTCAGAGCTAGTTCACTGAGGCAAGCACCACGCTAAAACAGATACAGTCCACTCTGAGTCACTTAAGTTGGACTACATACTGCCTTGTGAGGTTTATGAAAGTTTGCCAAAAAAATAGCTGCAGCCCAGGACAATCGTCAGAGGAAATGATAAGAATCCCTGTGGTGCAAAAGTTGAATGCCCATAACACTCAAGTTGGTAGTGAATGCAATCCATCCACCCATGCCTTCAGGACAGATGCAGCATAAACCTGAAGCCAGCCACTGAAGGGCATGCACTTCTGCGAAACAGCGGAAAGGGGACTGTCTTTTCCCTGGACTTTAGAAACTAAGAATATCTTCCTGAGGTTGGAGACTGCTGCATTCACTCTAGTGCCTCTCATTCACCTGGAGAGTCGTCACAGCACAGACTGCTGGGTCCTTAACCCAGGGGGAAGCATGTGATGGAGGCCATGTGTCTTGCACAGGCTCCCAGGCTAAGCTGCCTAACTAACTTGGTACTAAAAGGCTTATTGAATCTTTGAATTTGTGGGATGTTTAATGTCTTCCTGTGCTTCCCTTGGGTACAGGAGTTTGTGTTAGAGCAGTTGTGTGTTCTAGAACGTTGGTTGGTGCTTGCAGAACTCCCACCCGATGCTATCTACACTGTGGACAGCATCACTCAGGGGACCACAGAGATATGGTCAGCTGACAGAGACCAAGAAGACCATCTGGAGGTGAGAAGGGACAGAAGCATGGCTGCGGTAGACTAATGGGAAGGGAGAAAGATGTAGCAATACTGTGTGGATGGAGGCATTTTACAGTTGAAGTGCCCCCCCAAACTGAAGGCTAGTAAGAACAAGAGAGACAATGATTAAAGCCAGAATATGGAGAAACCACCATTCTCAGATGTCACAGAGAGAGTGTAAGTGGTCCAGCTGACAGGGTAAGGAAGAATAGACACTCAAATTATGCCCCCATCCACAGTGGCATGTGCATGCCCACAGATGCACCATAAACAAATGTTTAAAAAGAAAACCGTTTGACACTCTCAGGATATTGTAAATAGAGTCAGCGTACAGTCAACAGTTCTACTACCTGTACGTGCCCCACAAGCAACCGCTCCAGGCATGAATTCTTTTCATAATAAAAAGACCCAGAAGACAATATTTTGGTTTGTGTTTGTTTTTTAAATTTATTTTATTACATGAGTACACTGTAGCTGTTTTCAGACACACCAGAAGAGGGCATCAGATCCTCATTACAGATGGTTGTGAGCCACCATGTGGTTGCTGGGAATTGAACTCAGGACCTCTGGAAGAGCAGTCGGTGCTCTTAACCACTGAGCTATCTCTCCAGCCCTGTTTGTTTTTCAAATCAGTGTTTCCCTAGCTGTCCTGGAACTCACTCGGTAGACTGGACTGGCCTCAAACTCACAGAGATCCACCAGCCTCTGCCTCCTGAGTGCTGGGACTTAAGATGTGCCCTCACCATCGCCTGGCAACAATAAATATTTGTTAGAGCAGTGAGAGGAAGACGTGCAACACTGGAGGGTGAGGGAGCAGAGTGATCCACACATGCTCTGCGGCCTGTGGTGCTCCGTGTCCCATGGTGCTCCTCATCCTGTGCTGCTCGAGTCTTGTGGTGCTCCATGTCCTGTAGTGCCCCAGCTTTCACTCCTGAGCCACCAAGCAAGGTCTCCAAACCATCAGGACAGCCCTAGGAAGCGTGGGGCTCTCCTGACCTCTGTCACAGTTTCTTCCGTACCTGTAGCTCTGCAGTATCTACTCATGGGATGACTGTCCTAATGAGTGTTTAGGCCAGTGGTTCTCAACTTTCCTAATATTGCGACCCTTTAATACAGTTCCTCATGTTGTGGTGATCCCCAACCATTAAATTATTTTCATTGCTACTTCATAACTGCAAGTTTGCTACTGTTATGAATCATAATGTAAATATCTTATATGTAGGATATCTGATATACGACCCCCAAGGGGGGGTCATGACCCCCAAGTTAAGAACCAATGGTTTAGCAGTTAGGTACACTTAACCTCTCTCAGAAGACCCAAGTTCAATTCCCAGCACCCACATGGTGGGTTACAGCTTACCGCTGTCTGGAACTCTAGTTCCAGGAGATCCGGCACCCCTCACAAACAATCACACAGGCAAAACACGAATGCACATAAAAAAATAATAATGTAAATAAATCATTTCTTCATCACAACAACTCATAACTCAGCACCTTCCACTACAGCTTGTAATAAGAAAAGATATGTTTCTGATTTCTTTTTTTGTTGTTTTTTTGAGACAGGGTTTCTCTGTGTAGCCCTGGCTGTCCTGGAACTCACTCTGTAGACCAGGCTGGCCTTGAACTCTCGAACTCAGAAATCCGCCTGCCTCTGCCTCCCAAGTGCTGGGATTAAAGGCATGTGCCACCACTGCCCAGCATGTTTCTGATCTCATGGCTAAAAAAGAAAGTGATGGTGGGCGGTGGTGATGTGTGCCTTTAATCCCAGCATGGGAGGCAGAGGCAGGCAGATCTCTTACTGTGAGGCCAGCCTGGTCTACAGAGTTCCAGGACAGCAAGGGCTACACAGAGAAACCTTGTCTTAGAAAAAAAAAAGAAAGTGGTGGAGGAAAGTTTTGCCCTTTGCCTCCTGAGGATTCATGAAAAAAGCTCTCATCAAATTCCAGTGCTTGGATCTTCAACTTTTAGCCTCCAGAACTATAAGAAATAAACTCGTGTCATTTATAATTCTCCAGGCCAAAAAAAAAAAGCCAGGCAGTGGTGGCGCACGCCTTTAATCCCAGCACTTGGGAGGCAGAGGCAGTCAAATCTCTGAGTTCGAGGCCAGCCTGGCCTACAGAGTGAGTTCCAGGACAGCCCTAGCTATAAAGAGAAACCCTGTCTCGAAAAAACCAAAATACTAATAATAATTCCCCAGGCTTCAGTATTCTGATAGTCACGCAGTGGACTAAGCTATACTATAGCCCATGGCCACTTTCTATACATACCTAAGAGGATTGAACTCAGGGAGTCAAACTTGCCCCTGTTTGTGGAACCACCGTTCACAACAGTCAGTGTGCCACCTGCCACTGTCCTCCCGGGCCTCTGCACTTCTCCTTCATACCCACTCCCACTCAGCACTTCCCATCCGGTCTCACTTACTGAAAGGCGTGGCTCCACATCTGCCTTCAGTAGCCCACTAACTGGCACCTTGGAGCTGCTACCCTATGGACAGCATCTCCCTGTTTCCCGATTTACTTTTTCCATCCCTGCTAGCATATATAATGTACCAATGAGAAACGAGGTCCGGTTCTTGCCAAAGCCTCGGCACAGAGTTGGAGAGCAGCGCGGCGCATCCCCATATCCCGCTCACCTACTCGCTGTGTCTTCCTGGGCCTCCTGGGCTCTGGCTTCTGGAACAGCCACGGTAATGATGGCATAAGTTGTATTTGCTACAAGTATGTCACCAGGGTGCTGTAATGGCAGTGTCAACACTTCCAAATTAAAGACCATCCATCCCTTGGGCTTGGAAGCTGGGTTGTCGCTGCCCCTTCTTCTCGTCCTCCCTCTGTGTCCTTCATCCTTAACCCCTTTGAGAGAGGCCGGGAACGTGCAGCCGTCTTTTTTGCTTTTTAGTCAGACGGCTGAGCTCCGTGCACACTGTCCACATCAACCGCCAAGAACAGTATTGGCAGGCTATACTGCAGTGTGGCCAGACTCTCTGTGTACATGAATGCCACCAAATGTCAATTAGGCCAGAGAAGGGGTTTGGAAAGTGGTGCTCTTGACCCTGAGGAAAGCAGGCTGTGAAGACATGGGAGGAGTCACCGGAAGCAGTAGT